TTGCTTCTTTGTTTGAAGTTAAGCACAAAGTTACACAATGGGCTATCTGTGCTCTGCCCACCACGGGTATCGAAACCCGGTTTTTAGCGTTGTAAGTCCGCAGACATACCGCTGTGCCACGGGGGGGGGGCGCATAATTATTTCCATAAATGTAAATCAATAAAAAACGTTTTTGTTTTTTCATTTTGTATACTTGTGACATATTTTGTCGACAGTTTGATAAAGAAAAACAGTACACATCGTGTCGATTCTCAAAGGTGTTTTCTTTTTCTTTTCTTTGTACAGTTTAGTTTTAAGAAATTATCTTAAATACTATTTGGTTGTTATACTATTTTATACGTAACAGGAGAAAGTCCATTGGTGAAAAAAACTAGATTTTAGTTGTGTGTTTGTGAAGTCTAACAAATTAAGGATTGTGAGTATACTTTTGTATTGAATTATATGACCCAACATGACTATATATATATAGTTTTAGCGTTGAATGAACGAAATATTTCCAGTGAACCCACTAACTTGGCTGTCCGGTAAGCCCCCCCCCCCCCAGTAGCACAGCGGCATGTCTGTGGACTTACAACGCTAGAATCCGGGTTTCGATACCAGTGGTGGGCAGAACACAGATAGCCCATTGTGTAGCTTTGTGCTTAACTTCAAACAAACTGTCCGGTAACATGGACAAATACTTCTTTTGTTGCTAATTAATAAAAGAAAGAAATGTTTAGGTGACGTCGCGATCGACATCTAATGCTGACATCTACAGGCCGGAGTTATCTAGAATACTTTTTTTATAAATTTGAATACTGTGTTTGATCTATATAACTTTCCAATATTAGACCACAATATTCCTTTGCCTTTCTTTAAATAAAAACTTGCTCATAGAATTTACTTTTTACAAAAAGATAATGATAATTAAAACATGAAACACATGTTCGTATGTCATATAACAAATATAAATGTTGCCTTAGGAACTGTAATTAAAACATGAAACACATGTTCGTATGTCATATAACAAATATAAATGTTGCCTTAGGAACTGTAATTAAAACATGAAACATATGTTCGTATGTCATATAACAAATATAAATGTTGCCTTAGGAACTGTAATTAAAACATGAAACATATGTTCGTATGTCATATAACAAATATAAATGTTGCCTTAGGAACTGTAATTAAAACATGAAACATATGTTCGTATGTCATATAACAAATATAAATGTTGCCTTAGGAACTGTTTTGTAAAGTTTTTGAAGTATTTTTTTTCTTTTGATTTTTTAAAGTTTGTGCTCCAGTTTGCTTTGGCTAAGGGTGAGCCGGATATTTGGTCCTTTGTTCATGCGCATTACCCTGGTTATAGGCGGCGAAACATATATGAATTTTTTTTTGGGGGGGGCACCTTATTTGCTTTGTAAACTCTTACTATTGAACTTAAAACTGACAGTTACACACAAGTCTATTTCCCATTCAGAGGAGCACTTCACTATCGAATCAAAATGGGGGGCATGTACCCTCAGGGACCCCCAATTTCGCCGCCTATGCCCCTGGTTTATATACTTACACCTTTGTACAATTTCGCTACAAAAAAAAATAGTACAAATGTGAACATGTAAACAATATTTACACCTCAATTTCGCTAAAACAAAAGAGTACAAATGTAAACAATATTTACATCAGTAAAAAATATAGCAATATTTTTTCTAACAATGAACATATTACAACTTTCCATACCTTAAATAACTTATTCAATCTACGGGTCACTTCAAAACACCACTTTAATTTAATTTTCTCATTTCTTATTGCACATAAATAATGTCCCGGTAAGTCAGCAATAAATCTCCGGACTTATAACCCTAAAATCCGGGGTTCAATAGCATAAAGAATCTAATTTTTGTAGTCAATAAGTTGTTGTTCACATGTTAATATGTTTACATATGTACTCGTAACTTACAGACAAGGATACGTAAGATCATTCTGGTTTGGAGGCGTGGACCTATAGTTAATGTACTGGACTGTGAATCTGTGAGTGAAAGGTTTGCTTCCTATTTTCACTAAAACTCACTCTCTGCCCTTTGTGATTGCATACGCGTTATAAGAATGACGGTCAAATCCCATGGTTTGATGATATTACCTCGATATTTGGTGGTGGTTGCTGCCTTTCCTCTTGTGTATAACTTCAAAATTATAAACGGCTAGCACAGATATCCCTTATCTACTTTGTCTTATTAGAAGTTTGATAAAAATATATCTTTAAACATGGCAGATAATCAATATCATGTTATTAGTTATTATTTCATTTCCAAGGATTTGTCTTTAAAAGTTAAGTAAGTTAAGCCTAACTTTCACTCTAAAAGTATTACTATACTGTTATTTAAGTAAGCTAAGCCTAACTTTCATTCTAAAAGTGTTATTATACTGTTATTTAAGTAAGTTAAGCGTAACTTTCTCTCTAAAAGTGTTACTATACTGTTATTTAAGTAAGTTAAGCGTAACTTTCTCTCTAAAAGTGTTACTATACTGTTATTTAAGTAAGTTAAGCCTAACTTTCATTCTAAAAGTGTTACTATACTGTTAATTAAGTAAGCTAAGCCTAACTTTCACTCTAAAGGTGTTCTATACAATTTTCATGTCGTTAATAAGGTATAATTAATTATCTATCTCTTGTAAATACTTAATAACATTATATTTTTTTATGATTATGGGGTTTTCGTACTATTGAGAGATAGTATTCTATGAAACAAATCTAATCACGAAGGATGGGTTTAAAAAACAACAACAGTAACATAAAACAGATATCAGTCTTTTAATAGTTTTGTTGAAATGAATAGAGAAAATTGACTTTAACAAAGATGTATTAGTTTTCACGTGTGGTATATGCAGGTAAATTCTAGTTTCCTAAAACAGTCAAAATTCCCCCACATCGTGGTAGTGCCATCTGGTGTTTATAAGTTTAAAGTGGAAATTAGCACCAACTGAGAGGATTCATTTACGTTATTTAAATATTTTCATTATTAACGAAAGCGAAAACCACATACAATCCTACACTCATTTGCATTTCACTTTGATAGATTTACATGTGTACTTGACGCACGAACAAATCTCATCTTCATGTTCAGAGCTTCTTCGAAAATATCTCGTGATTAATAAAGATCGTAATTATTTTTCCGGAAGCTACCACGAGTTGATAAGAGTTATATAGGGTTGGCTATATAGGTGATAATTACACAACGTTAATCAGCCTCTTCCCGCGAGAAAATACAATCGGTCTTCCATTAAAGTGTCATCTTTTATCCAAAGTTATATAATTTCACGTGAATGGAATGCACGAGCATGGCCTAAATAGGCTCACTTAATTTGATGAAGTGTTTTCAGAATAAACTAGTCCGTTATGAAATAATGTTAGTTTACATAATTAGACGGCGTGTGGTAAAACGTGGCACATTATAACAGTTATATACGAAACCCTACGGGCGTTGAAAAATCGTAATAAATATCGATTAAGCCTAAAAATGGAGTTAGTTGTTTGTTTGATGAACAATAAAACCTTTAAATCTTATCACGTCACAAAAATTTCCAATTTTTCATAAATTCTTTGAATTAAATTTCTATAGTGTTTGTTTGTTTGTAGTTAAGCACAAAGCTACAAGATGGGCTATCCGTGCTCTGCCCACCACGGGTATCGAAACCCGGATTCTAGTGTTGTAAGTCCGCAGACATACCGCTTATACTCTGGGTGGTAATTTTGGTTACGTCCTTTCAACCTCAACCAAGGGTGTTCAGGAGCTTTTTTCCGCTTCTCTTCAACCCGACTGCTTGGTGAGGGATGTACATATTCGTGAGTATTATAGTTTGTCCTGGATTTGGTTTGACCGGGTCTGGAGCATACATTAAGCTTAGAAAATCCGGCAGCAGACATACCGCTGTGCCACTGGGGGCTTTTTATAGTGAACGCTCATCACATGGTGAGACGGATGTGTATTTCTAATCTCGTATAATCAATAAAATCAACAACTATGTAACAAAACTCAACAAATTTGGAGTAAATTCCGCGAATTGGCACGTGAGATCGGAACGACATCTTCCAGTAACTTCTTCTTTGCATAACCTTCTAAATATCAACTAGTTTTTTATACTATTTCTGTTCATTGCCCGTATGTACAGCCTTGGTCAAACTATTTGCATGCTGTTCTATACTGGTGTTATTGTCTACATACATGGAGTGGTTATTGAGTAAATGTCTGAGTAATAACAGAGAAGGTAGCGTATGATCTGATAGACACGTACGAGTTGTTATTCTGATCTGTACAAGTTGTTTTAAGCATTTGTTCGTCAAAACACACATACACACCTGTTTTGTATAAAAGGGGTGTGATTTTGGTATAATCTTTTTCGAAACACATCAGTGATTTTTGTTCAGACGATTTTTCTGTACTTGGTGTAAAGTCATGCCTCGTCGCGTAAAGTTATAGGGCGTCAAAGTGTTCGACTGTTCAAAAATGGTATGAAACAAACTGGCATTGCCAGAACAGTAGGGTACCCCCAGTATACTGTATCCAGAATCCTGAAACATCATCGGACTACAGGAAATTGGTAGACGCCGAAAAACTACTGTCTGAGATGACGGTGTTTTGATCAGGTTAACACGTCAAGGTCGAAAAAAGTCTTGTAACACCTTGCGGCAGGAATGGCATGAACACATTCATTCCAGGGTATCCAGAAGAACAATGAATAGGAGACTGACCAAACAAGGATATTTTGCAAGAAGGGCTATTTACAAACCAATATTAACCAGAATTCACCGCCGTCACCGTGTTACTTGGGCAAGACAGTATGCTAACTGGTGGTGCAGTACATGTTTCGGCAGCTATTCATCATGGTGGACAAGGATATTTTGCAAGAAGGGCTATTTACAAACCAATATTAACCAGAATTCACCACCGTCACCGTGTTACTTGGGCAAGACATTATTCTAACTGGTGGTGCAGTACATGTTTCGGCAGCTATTCATCATGGTGGAAAAACTGCTCAATGACGTCTCCTACAGGCATCAGACGGAGACGATATTTCTGCCATATGTTAGGGAAAGATTTGGCAATAACTTTGTGTTCCAAGATGACAATGCCACCGTCCACAGTGCACGTATTTTACAGGATTATCTCGTCCAGGAAGACGTTACAAGATTGTCATGGCTTGCAAGTTCTCCAGATTGTAATCTCGTTGAGAATTGTTGGGCAGAACTGAGCCGGAAAATTGCTAACCACGATCCCAACCCAGCTATTGTAGCTGAGTTGCAGCGCCTTCTAGTGACAAGTTGGATTACATCAATAACCTCATCGACAGCATGCCATGTCGCCTTGCGGAGATTATTAGAGTACAAGGAGGACCAACCAAGTACTGAAAGTTTAATATGAACTGACATAATGTTACAGACACTACTTATAATAATCTGATGTTATATTTTGTCATTATATATGTTGTGATAGGTGAAATGCTGAATTAGACATCTTTATAGAGGTGTCTGATAAAATTGTTTGCTGTTCATATTCAATTCCAGCCTGACAAAAAGAGTTTAGTGGTTAAAGTGCTTGACGCGGGTCGCGGGATCGAATCCTGTCTCTAAATATTGTCGCCCTTTCATTGAGAGTTTTATAATATGAAGGTAAATCCCACTTTTCGTTGGTAGAAGAGTAGCCCAAGAGTTGGCGGGTGGTGGTGTTGAATAGCTGTTTTCCTTAGGGACGGATAGCGTAGATAGTCCTCGAGTAGCTTTGCACAAAATTAGAAAAAACAAAAACATGCGTATTAAATCATTTTATGGTTTTACCAATAGCAACATTCAGTGTGACGATCTAAAAATAAAAGTTAAAATCGATATCCGTTCTTATCCAACAGTTTCAGTAGTTAACATGTTAGTTTACTCTATATATGTTTGTATCCAACATTCTACAGTTGCTAAGCTGTTTGTGTGTTTAATCTGTATCCGTTCTTATCCAACAGTTTCAGTAGTTAACATGTTAGTTTACTCTATATCTGTTTGTATCTAACATTCTACAGCTGCTAAGCTCTTTGTGTGTTTAATCTGTATCCGTTCTTATCCAACAGTTTCAGTAGTTAACATGTCTGTTTATTCTATATCTATTGTTTCTAACTCTGTGTCTGAATAACAGTACTTTGTTTCCAATACTTCCCACATTACGTGTACGAAACAAAGTATTGTTATTCAGACACAGAGCTTAGAAACTGTGTCTGAATAACAGTACTTTGTTTCCAATACTTCCCATAATACATTATTGTAAATGTAATAAAACAAAGTATTGTTATTCAGACACAGAGCTTAGAAACCAATACTTCCCATAGTCAAGATGTTACCAGACACATTACGTGTACGATAATGTATTGTTTCAAGCTCTGTGTCTGAATAACAATACTTTGTTTCCAATACTTCCCATAGTCTGTCTGATAGCATCTTTATTACGTATACGATAGTGTATTGTTTCAAGCTCTGTGTCTGAATAACAGTACTTTGTTTCCAATACTTCCCATAGTCTGTCTGGTAACATGTGTATTACATGTATGATAATGTATTGTTTCTAACTCTGTGTCTGAATAACAGTACTTTGTTTCCAATACTTCCCATAGTCTGTCTGGTAACATCTTTATTACGTGTACGATAATGTATTGTTTCTAACTCTGTGTCTGAATAACAGTACTTTGTTTCCAATACTTCCCATAGTCTGTCTGATAACATCTTTATTACGTGTACGATAGTGTATTGTTTCAAACTCTGTGTCTGAATAACAATACTTTGTTTCCAATACTTCCCATAGTCTGTCTGATAACATCTTTATTACGTGTACGATAGTGTATTGTTTCAAACTCTGTGTCTGAATAACAGT